GACCCCAGGCAGTACTGACAGCACCCGTCCCTGCGAGCCCTCCCATGACTTCCCCAGCACCACGACACAGGTCCTGCGGCTCACGGCTCGCTCTCGCTGGTGGCCGGTTACGCGTGGCTGCTTTAGCCATCGTGCTTACTGTCTCCTTTTCCAAGAACTGCGCCGTGGCGTTAGAAATCCCATGGCAACATTGCTCATGGACGCGGAGGCGTGTTGGTACCCTCAACGCCTAGAAATTACTTGCTTGCCATACCTGTTGCCGCAGCCCTGGCTGTTCCCAGGGTTATCCCCTGCTGCCGGGGGATGGAGCAGCGTGACCATAGGCACTGCATTTTATACCACTCTGATTTTATTTTTTTTATTTATGGCAAACGGCATTTCGTGGTTTAAAACCCCTGAGAAAGCTGTGGTGCAGGTGACCTGGGACGTACCATGTGAAAGGCTGTTCATGTGGAATTGTGTCCATTTGGGGGGAGCCCCGAAGGAGCGGGTTCTCCTTCCATGAAGAGTTTCCCACAGGACAGGACAGACTTGCAGGAGTTAATCCCCTCTCTGATGCTTGAACAGTGAGTTGGCTTGGGCTGGGGGGAAGCCTCCTCTGGATTTAAAGCGGATAATGTGCCATTCGGGATGGGGATGACAGGTGCCTTGCTCACAGTCACGGAGCCCAAAACCATGCTGGCCATCGTCCTCGCTGCCTGCCAGGAATGACAGCTAAGATGTGTCAGGCTGCTTTCTGGGAACAGGGCTTGGTCGTTCCCGTCTGGGCTGTGATTGCCGTGAAATAGCCCCCTCAGCTGCCTGGCGCCCTGTCTGGAGGCAGAGACCCCCCACCGGCCCTGGCCCTTGAGGGGAAGGATGGGTGCGGGAAAACGAACACCATCCAAAGCGTGGGGCTGGGTGCTTCGGTTGCCTTCGTTCGCTGTTGCAGCCTTCGGCGTGGCATTTCCGTGGCGAACCACCGCTAGCATTCGTGGTGCAAGATGCTATTGTCGCACTAAATATTTTGTGCTTGTTTTTAAACTCCAGAGCAGAGTCCCGCTCCGTTGCCTCCCAGGAGGCTGAAGTGCTCTGGCCCTTGGTAACAAAAGTGACTCTGTAACGGCCACTTGTTTGTGCCTGGGAATGAAGCTGGCCTTTATCCCAAAAGTCTTCCAGGGGTTTTTTTGTGGGTTTCAGAGTTCGGGCCAGCCACCACCTCCCTCTCCCCTGCCTGGCTGCGCGTTCCTGCAGCTCCCACCCCACCGGTCACATCCGCCGAGCTCTGGTCAGGAAACCACGCGTGGCACACGTCGTCTTCCCTTCCCTCCTTTCCTTCTTGCTGTTTGCTTGCTTGGCAGCAGCGCTGGCCCTGGCGAGGAGCTGGCGAAGCACGAGCTGGGAGGGAAGCGGGAAAAGCCTTGCTTGCCTGCCCAAGGTCTGCACAGCCTGTCTGGGGTGAGGGGGGGGGGTTGGGTTTGGGTTTTGTTTTTTTTTTTTGAAGCTGCACAAATCCCAGCAAGAGGCAAGTACAGAGGCCTCTGGAAGACTTATATAAAATGGCAAATGTCTCTGTCCCTCTTCGTTTCCTCCATCAGCCGAGGTTCTTGCTGGGCTTTTATTTCCTACTTTTCAGAGAAAAAAACTTTCCTAGCTGCCAGTGGCTCTTATGTTTTCCTGATGATCTCAATACAGGAAAGACATTTTTTTACAGAGTGAACAGTCATTCACTGGAACAAGCTCCTCAGCGCCGTGGTAGCATCCCCATCAGTGGAGGTTTTCGAGAAATAATTGGACAGGGTGCCTAATTAGTCTCATCGAGGCTCTCTTTCTCACAAAAGGTTGGACCAGATGATCTTTTGAGGTCCCCTCCAACCTCGGCTGCTCTGATTCTGTGATCTCCCGGCTGTATTTGTTCAGCCTGGAAGTTGCTTTCAGTGTTTATTTTGAAGACTGTGAGAATAAAATCTTCTGCCCGTCCGTGGGAGTGACCTGGTGGTGGGGGTCCCTGCGAGCATCACGCTACTTGGCCTCCAGATGTGCTATGTCTGCTTGCTACCCGGCTGGTTAGCGTGAGTGGTGACTTCTCAGGTGTTGAAATGACTTGGCCCCAACCCAGCTTTTTCTCCTCTCTGCTGACCTAATGTGAGGAGATCACAGAATCACAGAATGGCAAGGGTTGGAAGGGACCTCGGGAGATCATCCAGTCCAACCGCCCTGCTCAAGCAGGTTCACCCAGAGCAGGGGGCATAGGACATCGCCCAGGCGGGCTTTGAATATCTCCCGAGAAGGAGACTCCACAGCCCCCCTGGGCAGCCTGTTCTAGTGCTCTGTCACCCTCAAAGTAAAGTTCTTCCTCATATTCAACTGAAACCTCTTCTGCTTCAGTTTGTGCCCATTGCCCCTTGTCAGAAGCTGCGGCACTCGGGGATAAGTTGATTTTCCCAGAGGGACTGGTGATGAAGACTCTCCTGCGGAGCCAGCCAAGGCTGTAAGATGGGAAAACCAGACATGGCTTGGGTTGAAAACCTAAACCAGCAGCACCACTGGTGCAAGCCGCAGTGGTGAGGGTCGATTCTTAGGCATTAACGGATTCTGGTGACAATAAGCAGACCTTTTTTTGGGAGACCACTACTGATACGTTGTTCTTTTTGAAACAGTAGTTATGTAGCATCTGAAAATCTCCATTAGTCTCTCCAGAGCTTGGCAGGTGCCCAGCAGACAGCCTTCATTTTACAGGATGCATTCGTGCCTTCCCATCCCCTCCAGCCCCTTTGGGGCTCCTCGTCCCCGCGCGTGCCCCAGCCCACTCCTCGCCGCGCTGGCTCTCTGCCCGGCTGCCCCCGCCGGTCCCTATGCCCCACGTCACCTCCAGCTGTTGGGATAACATCACCTCATTCTACTTCAGGCAGGCCCACAAAACTTCAACTGCTGGCCTGTCCTTCCCAAGCAACTCTCCTGGGGGGGTTTCTTTTGCTTGTTTTTCCCCTCCCTTCACGCCTTCGAGCAAGAAGGTGTCGTGTCCCCTCTTAGGGACCCTCAGCAACCCAATTGCTCGTTGGGCGTTTGTGGCTGTGGGGCGCTGCCGAAGCCCCTCCAACACGCGTCGGGAGGCGCAACTCGCGCTCTTTTTCCTCTTCCTCCTCCTCTGGCAGCGTTGCCGTGAGGATGTTGGTGTCATTGGCCGCGGAGCCCGTCAGGTTTTGTGAAGAGGGGCTTCCTGCGGGGTCAGCGCGCTCCATTGTGCCGGCGCTTCCCCCGCAGCTGGCTTCCTCCCTCCCGCGGCACCTAAATATAGCGGGAGGCATTGTGCGAGCGCGGCACGGTCAGCAACGCCGTCCATCCG